CATCATCACCATCATCATCATCATCATCATCATCATCATCATCATCCTCAACATCATCATCCTCCTCCGCCTCATCATCATCATCATCCTCATCATCATCATCATCACCATCACCATCATCTTCATCTTCATCATCATGTCATCATTATTCAGCAGTGACGCTTTGCTGCCGTACGACCATGATTTATTTGAAACCCTTATGTTGAAGTAAATAACAAAGTTGGATGGGCGACTGACGTAGTTCTACCGGACTGCAATCATTCTGAGACGCATAAACCTCCAGATACACACTCAGGCGATCTAGACAGAAACTGACAATACGAACGCCATTGCCATCGATCAGCAGCCATACCCTGCAGCGTCTACAAACAGAAGCAGTGGTGATCAAGTGGTCCCATCTTGGAAGGCTACCAGCATCCTCTGCCATGTCAAGATTTGGCCACCTCTCAGCTTCCGCCACTATGAATTGGACACGGAAAACCACAACGTTTTTATCAAACGATGGTTCGGAATACGCTTCTGGTGCTGGACACATTCATCAATGGAAGTACCTGTTGCACAACCGAAAAATAGCATTCTAATCGCCCGGTTACGGCCGCACGAGCTATGGCCCTGAGACAGTGATTGCCAAACACCTGAAGACGTCTCAGTTTCACTGCTCGAACAGGCCAAGTTTCACAGCCATAGAGCAGAACAGCCCGCACTATAGCCGGATACACACGTCCCTTTAGGTTCAAGAATATACCGCTTTGATGCCATAGAAAATACAATCCGAGCTTCGCAAGTTCGTGCACTGGCCTCATCCGTCAAACTACAGTCAGAACTAGTACAACTTCAAGGGTATGTGAAACGCTCCACAACTTCCAGTGCCTCTCCCTGGATTGCAAGTGGCGTGCTCAGTGACTTCATGTCCAGGAGCATGACCTTCAACTTCGTGGGTGCGAAGCGCATGCTCATCCAAAGCCGCTTGCGGTCTCTCTTCTCAAACGGGAGATAGTCTAGATAAACAATGCTTTCGTCGAGGGCTATTCGAAAACTAAGGTTTTGAAGAGCTTTCAGCGTTCCTCTCTTCAGTCAATAAATTCAATGCGAATGAAGAGAATGAGCACCCGTGATACAGCTTTGTGTAAGGAAAACTTTGGAGAGCTCGCCGTACACTTTCACACGTTCGAAAGTCTGAGAATACAAAGGAGGTATCATTTTCACAAACATCCAGGGTATTCATTGATGGGTAGTCGCTTCCATAAGATCAGACCGGTCGAATGCGCCCTGGAAATCCAGGGATACTAAAACTGTGAGTAGTGTATATGTATAGCTTTGTTCTAGCACCTGACGAAGTGCGAGGATTTGGTCACCGCAAGTTCTACCAAGAGAGAACCATGCTTGCTGCTCTCGAGTCAATGTTCCCCGAGTTACCGTAAAGCGACGAAGCACAAGCTAACATTCTTGTTATAACCGTGGTAAAGCTGATCCCTCCTGTGGTTATCACACGCAATAAGATACCATATTTTGCAATTGGACACTGTTAATGCTTCTCTCTGATTGTCTGAGACACTTCTTTTCCCACATCCAAGCGAATAGATCAGACTAGTACTGACTGAGGAATTCATCCCCATCTTTGAACAATACGGGTGAGAGGTCATCCGGATGAGAATCTCGGTGGCGCTTCAGAGAACATATGCAGTCATAAATTTCTGAGGCCATAGAGTCTTCCACGTTCACTGTCCAGGGTTCTCCGCCAACTATGGGCTCAAAATGTGTGGCAGCTACTGGCCACGATAACCGTTGTTGGAAGCATTCGGCCCTCCTGTCGGAGTGCTCTTCTTTATTCAAGATGGTCATTCCATGCTAGTTTCGCTCACGGGATTTTCACGGGGTCCTCTGATCATTTGTCACGCTGTTCGGGAGCGGCCGAGACTTCCTCCGAGATTTAAGCAATGCTACTCTTCGCTCTGATATCCAGTGCTTGAGTACGCCTGGTAGCTCCGCGCCGGAAGCAAAAGTTCCAGCGCTGTGCAGACTGGTGGCGATCTTGACCCAGTATGAATTCACATCTGATGAGATAGCACCTGGAAGAGACTCTGTTATGAGATTCTGATAAGTTCGCCGTCAGTCTTTCAGTTGTCAGGCGATTTAACCGCATCTTACGCGGCCCTGGAAAATGAAGGTAGAGGCGAATCGGGATGAGTCGCAGAAAGGGCTTGGTTGTATCTGTTGGGAGGCGGTGAAAGCCTACCTCACCGCTTCCGCGGTGAGGTTCCGCAAGTATAAGCTTGTCCGTGCAAGTGCACTCATCGTCTGATCAGCTCCATAACCTTGCTGAAGATGGTGTTTGTACCTATGTCGCTATTCATTTACGAGTGGATCACTTGCAATAAAGTATACATTTAGGCTACACTTGTAAAATTTTTTGCTAGGTACTCCCTGCTTGCTGCTCTCGAGTCAATGTTCCCCGAGTTACCGTAAAGCGACGAAGCACAAGCTAACATTCTTGTTATAACCGTGGTAAAGCTGATCCCTCCTGTGGTTATCACACGCAATAAGATACCATATTTTGCAATTGGACACTGTTAATGCTTCTCTCTGATTGTCTGAGACACTTCTTTTCCCACATCCAAGCGAATAGATCAGACTAGTACTGACTGAGGAATTCATCCCCATCTTTGAACAATACGGGTGAGAGGTCATCCGGATGAGAATCTCGGTGGCGCTTCAGAGAACATATGCAGTCATAAATTTCTGAGGCCATAGAGTCTTCCACGTTCACTGTCCAGGGGTCTCCGCCAACTATGGGCTCTGAATGTGTGGCAGCTACTGGCCACGATAACCGTTGTTGGAAGCATTCGGCCCTCCTGTCGGAGTGCTCTTCTTTATTCAAGATGGTCATTCCATGCTAGTTTCGCTCACGGGATTTTCACGGGGTCCTCTGATCATTTGTCACGCTGTTCGGGAGCGGCCGAGACTTCCTCCGAGATTTAAGCAATGCTACTCTTCGCTCTGATATCCAGTGCTTGAGTACGCCTGGTAGCTCCGCGCCGGAAGCAAAAGTTCCAGCGCTGTGCAGACTGGTGGCGATCTTGACCCAGTATGAATTCACATCTGATGAGATAGCACCTGGAAGAGACTCTGTTATGAGATTCTGATAAGTTCGCCGTCAGTCTTTCAGTTGTCAGGCGATTTAACCGCATCTTACGCGGCCCTGGAAAATGAAGGTAGAGGCGAATCGGGATGAGTCGCAGAAAGGGCTTGGTTGTATCTGTTGGGAGGGGGTGAAAGCCTACCTCACCGCTTCCGCGGTGAGGTTCCGCAAGTATAAGCTTGTCCGTGCAAGTGCACTCATCGTCTGATCAGCTCCATAACCTTGCTGAAGATGGTGTTTGTACCTATGTCGCTATTCATTTACGAGTGGATCACTTGCAATAAAGTATACATTTAGGCTACACTTGTAAAATTTTTTGCTAGGTACTCCCGTGATATTAAAAACAAAAATTAGTCTTTCTTTCACTTGATCCAAATCATTTTTTTGCTCTTTCTCAAACTCTTAGGCCATTCTTCAACGGCCCGTAGATTGGCTATCCAGAAATGTGATTCTCACTTTAACTCTTAGGCCATTCTTCAACGGCCCGTAGATTGGCTATCCAGAAATGTGATCCGATGTCAGACGTTACCGATGGGGCTTGCTTCGATTCCTTCCTGTTCTCTCATTCTGTATGTTCACCGGCTCTGGTTTGCGAGATCCATCAAATTCCTGTGAACTTTCTAAAAACAGTGATGGTCGTGTGAGGAGATTCGTCAATGTTCTATTAGGATTTCGCCTGCATGTGGAATCGATCCAAGTAGAAAAGCTTTAGAGCGCTGTACAAATGGTCCATCCCCATTGGGAATCATCAGCAGAAAAATCTCACGAAATCCAACAGAGTTTCGAACTCTTTCAACTAATCTTTTGACAACGACTGGCTGACCAGCTCTGGTTTAGACATGATATAGCGCCACTCATCACTCAGTCACGGAAGTTACATCACATGGCCACATATTGACTGGTTCCTCGAATGATGACTTCTCAGATGGAAGACTCACCCACTGTTCTTCCTGTGAGTGATGGAGTGTGAGACTGATGGAAGTGTGAGGAAATTCGGTAATTTTCATATGAGATTTATAATAATATGAAATTAAACATCCACACCGATTTTGCCTTATAGTTCTTAGCAGGTATCGAAATTGCTTCCGGTGTTTATTACCAAGCTCCCTATCTACGAATCTAAATTAGCTTAGACTAAAGAGCATTTTCGCGCTCTCACACAAGAGAAGTGAATTTGTTTAACCCCAAAAATTTCTCGAGTCGTGTCATACTTGCACATTTCATGTAATTAGCAAGGAATGCTAACCGCGTTGTTGGTTTCGCTGAAAAAGAACACAGACACGGTACAAATCCTACAATAAAAAAAGAACGATGAATTTCTAATTAAATTTCTGTTTCAGGTGTTGTCAGTCCTCACCTTCACGTGAGTTTGTATAAGATATTTATCCGTGTTTACTCCACCATCGTCGGTTACTCTGTGTGTGTGTGGTGATTCTTCGTGTGTTTGCGTGGCTTGGTTTGCTGCCATCACCCACAGTGGGGAAGATGAGCACGCGGCTACATAACGACACTATAATGGGGAAGGGGACACAGTTCTAGATATCCAAGAGACATCCGATCAACATGTTTCTAGATTTGTTTGTACACCTTGTTACACTTGAATGCTCTTCGGAATAGCAAGATTCTACAACGTGTATGAGCCAGTGAAATGCGATTCGAACATTTATCAATTTGCGCGGTGTAAGCCCGCGAAATTTGTTTATCTTAACATGTATTGTGATCGTGTTAAAACGTAAACTTGAAATAATTGAGAGTGCCACACACGAACACCCTATTCAACAAAAGAACATTTGCTGACTGGGTGCATTAGTTGGTGATGAGATGGGGGAATGTTCCAGCACAGTAAGTTTGCAACAGTTTTTTTGCTGCCTCATTCGGAGCTCTGACATGACTATAAATTACAGAGCCAGTAACTGGATGCCAAGTGTTTTGTGAGCGTACATCCTGTATTTCATCATTCCCATCCGATATTACCGGGTTAAATAGTGCTGATGTGAAAAAGTTGATCAACTAACTGAATTCCAAGCCATGCCAGGGGTTGCTCAAAAATCCTGCAGATAAAAAGATTCTCGTTGAATTAGTGATTTCCCACGACGGATTCCGGTTACCGCACATGCTTTTGATGTTACCTAGGATGAACCGCTTTGTAATGCAAACGAAACTTTGTTCACTAGTATAAATTGGTGAATAGCTTTATCTATCTATCCATCTATCTATCTATCTATCTATCTATCTAACTACCTATCTATCTATCTATCTATCTATCTATCTATCTATCTATCTATCTATCTATCTATCTATCTATCTATCTATCTATCTATCTATCTATCTATCTATCTATCTATCTATCTATCTATCTATCTATCTATCTATCTATCTATCTATCTATCTATCTATCTATCTATCTATCTATCTATCTATCTATCTATCTATCTATCTATCTATCTATCTATCTATCTATCTATCTATCTATCTATCTATCTATCTATCTATCTATCTATCTATCTATCTATCTATCTATCTATCTATCTATCTATCTATCTATCTATCTATCTATCTATCTATCTATCTATCTATCTATCTATCTATCTATCTATCTATCTATCTATCTATCTATCTATCTATCTATCTATCTATCTATCTATCTATCTATCTATCTATCTATCTATCTATCTATCTATCTATCTATCTATCTATCTATCTATCTATCTATCTATCTATCTATCTATCTATCTATCTATCTATCTATCTATCTATCTATCTATCTATCTATCTATCTATCTATCTATCTATCTATCTATCTATCTATCTTTCTATCTATCTATCTATACAAGTGATCGGCTTTGAAAATAGGTGTAGAAAAGCGGATGCAGCTGCCGTAGGTCATGGACATGAGCTCATTTCGTCAACGGGGGGTAACTTTCTGACTGAAGCCATGCTGTGATGCAGTGCGGTAAATCTACGACATGGCCTTACTGAAGACGAGTTTAACAGACTGTTGAACGAGGAACAGCGCACCGATCCCATATTTCCACCTGTTTGGAGCTGAAGAGCAAGCTTCATGTTGCTAGGATGGCCTCCTTTGCCACAGAGTTTACGTAAATAGTCTCAGCCTGAACAAATTCCTTCTGTCACTCAAGATTCCGCGAAGTTGGTGCGCAGCAATCCAATAGCTAGATAGGTGATTTCTTTTGAAATCGATTCTCTGCGAGGGCCTAAAACGTTTAGTTGCCCAGGGTAATATGGATTAGCATAAACCCCAACATCATTGTTATATCCGCTGATTCGTCAATCTGTGGTATCTGCTGCTGACCCGCTCGAGTTCCTAGTGTCGGAGAGAAAAGTCTCACAGAAGGGAACACAACATCTGTATTCCAAACAAGCGAGTGAGTGAGCGTGTGCAAAAGTTACAACAGCCCCACTCTATTTAAAGGGGACTTCTGTCATTGATCCAGGCTGTCTGACAGGCGTTAGTGAACACCCATCAACATCGATCATGCCTCTGTGAAAAAGCCTGAACGCTGATCACATTCGGTCGTGCTTCTGTGGCGCGCAAGGGCACTAATCAGGTTTTGCTGAATTGATTGAATGATTGACTGGCCTGGATGCTTGCCGGTTTTCCTGTTGAGTTTTTGGTGGAGCAATAGGTTCCGGACGTTCTGAAGTTGCTTTCAGGAATCTGACCTTCTTGACAATCACCTTGTCAGCTTACCAATTTTTTGGTCAACCTGATGATAAAAAATCGATCCCCTTTACCCGGGTATACCCGAAAGCCAGCATGTGTTCAAGCAGCCAGTACTAACGTAGCATTCACGTGTTGTCCTTGGATTATTTTTTTTCTCAAGGTTGTTGAGGTTCCCTATACGGAACCTGAAGTGGCGCGTAGGGTTGACGATCCTGAATATCACAAAGAAAAATTTGGTTCGAAAATGTACGGCACTATTGACACAATAGTTAATTAAATTTATGCATGCGGCTTGCAATAATGCGAATGGCTAGTTGAGAGCACATGCCCTGCAATCCTATTGGTCCGTTTGCAATCCCTGTTGCGTTGTGGTCGCGGTTGCTCATATTCGACTGGTGACCAGAATAGCTTCTCTGTGAACACTTTTATCCTTTTATGATTCGTCAGTTGTCGATATCTTGCTTAGTCTACCTTACATTGTTTTGACTAACTTTTGTAGTGACTTTTATTTTCGGTAGTTTTTCCTTTAATCTGTTTGGTCTGCTCCCAAATTTCGGTCTCCTGCATTGTGGTGTGCCTGGGTTTGCTTAGCAAAGTCTGCTTACCTGGTCGGTATTTCCGTGTACTGATGCTCGTGATACTAATCTGCACACAATTGCTTCCTATCAAACATCTCTGTTTTTATAATGTGTATAATTACTTATTTTATCCATGGGTAAAAATGCACGTGATTCAGCGCGGACTTGTTTGAGAGTTGTATTAATTTCATTAAACAAAGTCCGACAACTCCGAGTGATTTTTAAGCGTTTGTACCAACCAAAATTTGCATCACATGCTGCGAACTCTGTTAAGATGAATCTCGCAGGTGTGGATTTGCCGCGTCGAGTGTTAACCTCCTAGCTGTCGGTGAATTGTACATTATCAATTTGTACTCATTACGAAGCACGTCAACTATACATATGTTTCTTTGTACTGGTCATTCCGAACTCAAACAATAAAAGCATGAACAACAAGTGTTATTGTCCCCCAGTAGAAAGACTGGGCTACCCATGAAAGGAAGAAGGCCTTCGCTGCGGACTATTAGACAGGGAAGCAAAACTCTCATTTGTAACTTGTTTACAGAAACTGAACATCCATCTTCTTTTGAACTCGGTCTACCTGACCTTCCTGGATATCCGTTGATTTTTGCTCAAATCCAAGCAAATGCTACAAAGCGACTCCACAAATTCAAGAGGAGCAGAGTTGGTTTACGAGAGAACGTACTATTCGCCTGCCTCTCCCATCAGTAGTATCACCGTCATACTCGTAGTCACAACCAAAATATTGACAGGTTGGAATGTACCGTCCGTTGAAATACTGCTTTCGAATTGGGAACGCTGCGTTATTCAGTTGCACTGCTGTTTTATCGAAAAGTCGATAGACCTAAATAAGCTATACCGAAAGATCCCGTGACAAGCCGTGACCACCGTTTAGGTCTACTCTGATTCCCACGATGAATGGTGATCGGGATGCAAATCCCCCGCAGTCAGGACCATTCTGCTAGATGTTCCACAAATACCCTGGGTGACAAGTTTACAGTAAAAGGGTTGAATAGTGAACCTGCTTTGTGTTATTTCCGCTATTGTCCAAACAGCACTTTTTGCACGCATAGGTTTGACAAACAGAACTCACACTTTTCGCAAGATACATTCATTTTTACACCAACAGAAACCTTTATGATGATACTGTGATACTTACTTACTTACTTACTTACTTACTTACTTACTTACTTACTTACTTACTTACTTACTTACTTACTTACTTACTTACTTACTTACTTACTTACTTACTTACTTACTTACTTACTTACTTACTTACTTACTTACTTACTTACTTACTTACTTACTTACTTACTTACTTACTTACTTGCTTACTTACATACTTACTTTATGAGACTATTCAAGTAAAACACGAAGTTGACGGAAAATCAGGGACTACGCTCAACTGATGAGCCCTCAGGACGGCATAGCCTGTCAAGGGTCGTTGGAGATATTTCAACAACCTTCTCATTAGTTGCCTTCGAGCACTTACTCTTCAGCGGAGAATTAAACTGATCGTGAACTTTCATACCTGCCCTGGAATTAATGGAAACGTATTGAACAAGAGTGCGCTACAGGTGTTTAAACTGGTATATTTTTTTACATCTTTAGTGAAAGTAGCGGGGGGCATGTTATCTTCCTTTTTCATCAGCATTTTCCCTGACTGCATCTAACGCATTTGAGCTTGTCCCTAATACCAATTTCGACGTATTGTTTCAGCTGTATACATATCATTAGAACTGGTAGACATAAGGTGTGATTCCTCAATGTCTCTTTTACCAACTTCAGTCGCGGACGTAAGACGTGTTAGTTTTGTTTCCCAACCAGCGACTGCTTCCCTAATTATCGCCTGAAAAAAGAGCATGAATTGAATGATCCAGGTGTAATAGGGTAAAGGTCATAACTGCTACGGATCGAAATACACTTTTTTGCGGAAAAAAGGTGGCGAAAACCATTGCTTTAGTGATTTTTCAGCTTCAGGGAACCCGGTTACACAAAGTAGGTTTCATTACCAGCCTCGTAACCTGAT